GGGGAGGGAGGGCCCCGTGCTTTAGTCAAGGGGTCCGGTTTAAAGAACTAATCCGATTTTAACGCTAATCCTGTTAACATTGAGATCAGGATTAATTCTGGGTTAATCGGGATAATCCTGACAAAATGTTGAGCATTAGACGGGGGGTGATGAATTATTGCTGCCGGGAGCGGCAACGCTTTTAATTTGGTGGCGAGACACGGGTGGGGGAGGGAGAGGGGAGGGGACTGAACCCCCCTGGATGGGGGAGACTCCTGGAATATCCCTTCAGATCGCACTCAGAGCATCCTGGGCCTCTCGTTCCTTCCACCTTTGCAGCCTCAGTTACCTCCAGCTTTCCCTCCTTTTCTTCCGTCTCCCAGCTCTTCCCTTTCCAGAGGCAGGGGCTGGGCTGGTGGAATTCCCTCCTGCACGAGGAGTTCAGCATTCCTGGCTGGTGGAGCTGGGGGGGGGAACGCTGTGTGAGGATACAGAGAAGTTTGGTTCCACCAGGATGGAGCCGGGATCGAGTGCCCGAGCCGGGATGTGTGGGAGCAGGGTGGCAGCACTGCCAGGCACATGCAACGCTGGGATGCCCTGTCTGTGACTGGGTTGAAGCTGGAGGGCCGACACCCAGGCCTGGGAGGCTGCTGAGGTCACGCCTGGGTCCCAGGGATGCTGAATTCCAGCTGGGAATGCTGGGTTCTGGTTGGGGACGCTGAGTCCTGCTCAGGGATGCTTCCCGGGAGGAATTTGCAGCCAGGCCTGAGGCAGGGAGGGGTGTGCTGGGGAAGTGTCCTGTTACCTGGGCTCTGCTCCTCTTACAAAACAGCTCCAGCTCTTGGCTGAGTCACCTCTGGGAGCATCAATAATTAAGGACGAGCGGAGTTCGTCGGGAATGAATGAATGAAGGGAAGGAATGAATGAAGGCACGGAGCAGTTTGGGCTGTGCTGGCACCAGCTGGTTTGCAGGAAGGTGCAGGGCTCACCCTGGTCCCGGGGCTGGGAGTGTCCACACAGCAAAGATTCCAAAACGCCCTTCCCTGCTCCCAGAGGCTGGTGGGGTCTCTTCATTCCCACCGGGATGCCGAGCCCCAGCGCCCATCCCGGGGGCTCAGCACTCCAGCAGATGGGACCTGTGGTGGTGGGATGCTGGATTAAGCGATGAGAGGGGGATTATGAGGGATTAATCCAGATCAGTGTCCAACCAGGGGCCGGAGCAGGGCTTTGTGTGCTTGGTAAATAACCGGTTGCGCCGCCGTGCCCACGGCTGGCCTGGCCAGTGCCGTGCCAGCTGTTTCCCAGGGATTGCAGGGGGCCCTCTCCTTTATCCCCATCATGTGGCACAGCAGAGGAGATGCAGGAGTGGGCAAGGTGGTGGCTTGGCTGGGCAGTGAAGCTGCCGGGACCTTCCAGGCTCTCCATCCACCCGCTCCGGGGCGATGCCCGGCCGTGCTCCGGAGCGTCATCCCTGCCCATGGCACAGGATGGAGCGTGAGCTGGGGGGGTCAGGGGGCTGCTGCCAGACCCAGCCCCCCCTGGAGCCGCCCACCACAGCCCAGGAGGCTTCTCCTGGTGAGGAGAGGCTGAGCTCGGGGACAGGCACTGCCGGTGGCGTTAGGACAGCGAGGGCTTATCCAGCCTGGTGGTGAGTCCAGCTCTGTGTCTGGGCGTCCTGGGGGATTTCTGGGGGGGAGAGAGGCTGCAGAGCTCGGGCTGAGCTGGGCTGGGGAGCTGTGTGCCCCGTGTGTGTCTCAGTGGGGTGTTCAGGGACATCCCCCTTCCCCTTTGCTCCCTCTCTCCTTGTTGCAAATCATGTTTTCCCACGGCTGGAAGCCCCCCGAGCCCCCGGCGTGCTGGGAGGGTGGGATGTCCGAGGGTCAGGCAGGAACAGCCCTGGGGAGGGTGGGATGTCTGAGGGTCAGCAGGAACAGCCCTGGGGAGGGTGGGATGTCTGAGGGTCAGGCAGGAACAGCCCTGAAGGGACCGTTGTCTCCTCAGGTGCCCCTCGGAGAGGGAGCAGGAGCTGGTGGAGGATCCACTGGGACAGACCCCGTGCCCCCTCCCCAAGGGTCCCTTGGCAGGGTCACCCTTCTTGCCTAGTTTAGGAGCAGAGTGCAAATATTAACGAGCTCCTGTGGCTTGGAGTGTTGTGTGGGAACAGCTGCTCCATCCCGGGGCAGGGGCCTTTCCCCACGCATTTTTTCCATGTTTTTTTTTGCTCCTATCTTCTTTGAAGTGGCCTGTGGGAGGTCCAGAGCTGCTCCTGTGCCCTTCCACCCTCTTTCTGCCAGTCTCCTCTGTGCCCCTGGTCCCTCTGCTCCTCTCCTGACCTCTCCCCCTCTCCATCCAGATCCAGCAGCTCCACTCGTTGTCCGATCACTGCTGGATCCAGAGGGGTGACCCCAATCCTCACCCAGATTCCTCAAAAACTGCTGGCACCTTGGTTCCCTCCAGCTCTGAGAATTCAGCCCTGGAAGCTGGGGAGGGAAATGTTGGAGAGGGGTGTGGAGGAAGGGAGGGAGGATGAGGACAGGGAGAGGGGAGAGGCGGGGATGAGGAGAGGAGCATCCTTATCCAGTCAGGCAGATATAATGAAGCTGCTTCTGCACTGACAGTAAAAGGGATTGTTGGGGGTTTCAGGAGCTAAAAGAATCACTTAATTGTGGCTTTTTTTAGCTCTGGGGAGATAAAAGACAAAAAAAACCCCTGAGTCTCCCTCCATTCCCCATCCCACCTCTTTTATATAAGGCTCCCACAGTGGGGGGGTCTTCCCACTGCCTGGCTCCTCTGCCTTCTCCAGAGGGGCTGGGGGGGAGATGGGAGCTCTGGGAGAGGGTTTTCACTGGGACAATCACCACGACAACACCCATGGGCACTCCCAGGGTGTAAAACATGATTCCCTCTGCTCTGGAATGCTGGAGTGTCCCGTGGGGGTTCAGTCCCTGGCAGGCACCCGGCAGGTTTGCTCCCTGACCTTGGTGCCCGTCGCCCACCCCCCCTCCCACCCGCTCTGCCCAGGGAGGGACCTCCTGCACCCTTGTCCCGTGGCCTTGGGTGGCTTTTGTTTGGCTTTGGGTGGCTTTTGTTTGGCTTTGGGTGGCTGCACTCCTTCCCTCCCCCTTCCGAGCATTCCCTGCTTCCCACGCTGGTGGGGGCAGCTCCAGGATCCCGGGTTTGGGGGCGATGCTGATGCTGCTGTGGCAGGAATCAGTGGCAGGAATCAGTCTGGGATCGTGTTAACCCTCTCTAAGTGCTGGTTCAGCAGGAAATGGGTCATTTCCCAGCGTGGCATCTCTGCAGCACGGGGACAACAAGCAGAGGGGGCTGTGTCCCCTCCCCTCCACCCCCTCCCTGCCACCACGGGGGGCGGGGGTGGTTTCAGATCCCACAGATCCCACAGGGAGCATTTGGGCTCTTCTGAAGCTGCAGGAGCCCCTTGTTGAAGGGGGGGAGGGTCTGGGCTTGGGTAAAACTGTCCCTGAAGGTGTAAAAACTGAGGAATGGGGGGGGACAAGGCCTTTGTGCCCAGGCTGGGGGTGCAGGGTGGGTTTTGGTCACTGCAGGGATTTATTCTGCACCCACAGAGCCTTCCCCAGCTGGGTGGGGCGTGGGGTGGGACCCTGCATGCCCCTGGGTGGGTGCATCTCCCCCTCCTCTGGAGGGACAGCGGGGTGACCCTCGGTGGGGTGACAGCGGGGAACATCCATCCCTGCACAGGCAGGTCCTGGCACTGCCCATCCCAGGGTGGCACCCTCCAGGCAGGATCAGGACCCCCCCCCAGCAAAGCAGGAACCCGGGTGTGGAGTCATTTAAACTCCCCAGGGACGGATGGAGCCTCCTGAAGGTGCCCTGTCCCGGCACGTTTGGGATGATCCACGTTCTGGGTGGCTGTGAGCGGGTCCCACCCCCTCAGGGGGGGCTGTGGGAGGGGCTGGGGGGCAGCAGAGCCCCCCCAGGGGTGCCAGGGGCGGGAGGCAGGATTTGTGGGGGCTGAGCTGTCGGTTTATTATCCCAGAGCAGGAGGGATCGTTAGCGAGGCAGAGCAATAAAACCTCCGGTTCCCTCCGAGGTGGCTCATTAATGGGCTGCTGGAGGCCAAGGTCGGAGCAGCCACTGCTGTCCCCTCCCTGGGCTCTGGGGGTGCCTGGGCCCTGCTCCCCCAGGCAAAAAATGGCAGAGACTCCCCCCCTGGAGCGCTTGGAATTGTGTCCCCCCACTGCAGGACCTGCCCTTTCCAGCTTACCAGCACCCTGGGGTGCACAAGGGTCCTGTGCCCACAGGGGTGCCCTGAGTGAGGGGCACTGGAGAGGGGGGCTGTGCCTCTACCCCGGTGCCAGCAACAGTTTTGGGGGGCTGCTGCTCCCTGCTCGGGCTGGGGGAGCACATTTTGTGAGCATCAGGCCAGAACGGTCCCTTCCGGGCTAAAAATCCATTAACTTCCATCCTGCCTGTTTTCTCCTTTTGTTGTTGTTGTTGTTGTTGTTGTTTGACTGATGCCATAATTATCTCCAGCAGATGAGCTTAATTACCCGAGGTCAGCGGTGCCTGCAGGGCAGGGCTCACCTGGAAGGGGGAAGTTCTCCCTGTCACCTGCTCCTGCAGGTGTCCCACGGGCTGGAGGGACCCCAGGGCATGGGGGTGTGGTGTTATAGGGGCTGTAGGGACCCCAGGACATCAGTGTGGTGTTATAGGGGCTGTAGGGACCCCAGGACATCAGGGTGTGGTGTTATAGGGGCTGTAGGGACCCCAGGGTGTTGGGGTGTGGTGTTATAGGGGCTGTAGGGACCCCAGAGCATCAGAGTGTGGTGTTATAGGGGCTGTAGGGACCCCAGGACATCAGGGTGTGGTGTTATAGGGGCTGTAGGGACCCCAGGGCGTTGGGATTGGGGGGTATTTAAGGGTGTGGAGTAGGAGGGATGGATGGATGGGTGGATGGATGGATGGGTGGATGGATGGGTGGATGGATGGATGGGTGGATGGATGGGTGGATGGATGGATGGATGGATAGATGGATACAGGGCAGGGTGAGTCCCCTCTGGCACAGAGCACAGGAAGGAGCCAGGAGGGCAAAGCCAGGCTGAGGTGCAGCCCTGGCAGTGTTGGTCACATCCCAAGCACATCCCTGCTCTTCCCTGTTCGGATCCATCCTGGGAGCTGGGCAGCAGCACCCAAACCCAGAGCAAACACCTGGAGAGGGGCACCCCCCAGCCCTAGAGGGTGTGCGAGGGTGGGGAGCCCAAAAAGCAGCTGCTGCACCCCAAAGACCTCCGTGCCACGAGCGTGAGGGAGGGGAGGAGGGTCCATCCATCACCTCCTGCTCCCTGCAGCTCCCTCACCCTCTGGGCACCCTCGGGGTGCTGGTCCTGGCCGGGTCCATCCCCGCATCCTTTCCTTGGTGTCAGACTCGAGCAGCTGCGCTGCCAGAGCTCTTTGTGCTGAAACAACAACAGCCAAACCAAGCAGTCAATTTTCCAGCAATTAGCTCCAGCGAGAACATTTCAAGTCCTCCAAAAACCCCGCCTCGCAGGATTAATTAAATCTTCCAATTAATGTCTAATTTAAATGATGATGATGGCTGTTATCATTTCATATTGATTTTTTTTGTTGTTGTTTTTGTTTTTGTTTTTTCCTTTCCAGTCTTAAAATAGAGCTGTTGTCCCTTCCAGGGCCGCCTTTTCCACACCCCAGGAGCTGTTTGTTCCCTCTGTTTGATTTGCCAACGGTTAAACATGTGTCTGGAAAATCCAAAGCCTGGTATTTTCGGGGGGACATCGACGGGCACCTGTGCCAAGGGGGGGGCCCGGCCACGTATTCGGGGATGTTTGTGCCGAAAAATCCGTGTCTGGAGCATGAACTCCCCCCGCAGTGAACACGCTGGGAAATGGGGCTCCTGGCGTTATTAAATTTTTCCTGCTGTAAACCCCAATCCATTGCTTTCTCCAGGCTCACACAGCCATAAACCTCGCTGCTGCTCTGCTTCCAGAATAAGCCGGGCATTTATGTTTCCCAGGAGCTGGTTCATTGGTGTAATGGATGTGTAACCTCCTGGAATTGCCAAGGTTATTCCAGAGCTCGCACGCGAGTCCCGGCTCCGGCGGCTCCGGCCGGGTTCGTTCCAGGGGTTGCTGGTGCGGGAGCTCAGAGGCACTGGAGTGGCACTGGGAGACGGGAAACGGGAGTGAGGGATGGCAGGAGCGAGGGGACTGGGGATGGGGGTCCGTGCTGGGAGCAGGAGGCGGAGGAGGCTTCGAGCTGGCCCCGTGTCTGGATCACATCAGGGCCCCAACTCAGTGGGAATCCAGGATGGAGCATCCCTGGATGCGGCTCAGCCTCATCCTCAGGCACACAGCGGGACTTTTGGGGGTGTTCTGTGCAGGGCCAGGAGTTGATGATTTTCGGTGGTCCCTTCCAACTCGGGACATTCCATGATTCCATGATTCCCACAAACCTCTCCATCCCAGCGCCGCGTTCCGTGGAAAGGTGGGAGCAGCTGGGATACCCATCACCATCCTCCTCTGAGCTCTCCCCTCTCCCTTTCCAGACGAGGAGCTCCCGACACTCCCAGGGCTCCCAGCCTGGCTTGGCCGACCAAGCCAAACTCTCCTTCGCCTCGGCCGAATCCCTGGAAACGATGTCGGAAGCGGAGCTGCCCCTGGGCTTCAACAGGATGAACCGGTTCCGGCAGAGCTTGCCCCTGTCCCGGTCCACCAGCCAGACCAAGCTGCGATCTCCAGGTACCCTCAGGCTCTGCCAGGGACCTGCCTGGCACCAAACACCCCTCTGTGTGTGCCGGGACGGGGCCTGGTTCCCTCCCCTCACCACCCTCTGCTCCCTCCGCCTCCAGGGGTCCTTTTCCTGCAGTTCGGGGACGAGACGAGGCGCGTGCACATCACCCACGAGATCAGCAGCATGGACACCCTGCACGCCCTCATCGTGCACATGTTCCCCCAGAAGCTCACCATGGGCATGCTCAAGTCCCCCAACACCGCCATCCTCATCAAGGACGAGTCCCGGAACGTCTTCTACGAGCTGGAGGATGTCCGGTGAGGAGGGAGGGAGGGAGGGCTCAGGAATCCACCACGGCCTCGATTTTCTTTTCTTTGAGGGAAATGAGCGGGATGAGGCGGGAAATGGGGGTGTGGGTGCAGTGCTGGGACTTTCAGGGGGTGCCTGTCGGGGATGCTCAGGGCTCTGCTTCTCCCTCCAGCGACATCCAGGACAGAAGCATCATTAAAATCTACCGGAAAGAGCCACTCTACGCCTCGTTCCCAGCCTCCCACATCACCAACGGTGACCTGAGGGTAAGGGGGGGACACGGGGAGAGCCTGGGAGGTGGGTGCACCCAGTGCAGTGGGACCAGGAAAGAGAGAAAGCAACAGAGGCTGGTAGTTTGTGGCAGGAGGGATGACTGGGATTCGTCTTGCCTGGGTCCGGAGTTTTTTAAGTGTTGCTTTGAGAGGGTGGATGTTTGGGGTAACAAACACGGTATTTAGGGAATTCATCAGGATAAATCCTCCTGCAGCCGGATGGGAAGGAGGGAGCTGTTGGTGCTCGGAGGGGTGGAGGGTCCCAGCGGGGCAGAGCAGGGGAGGGGATGAACCCGCAGAGGGACACAGGGGAGGGGATGAACCCGCAGCGCTGACCCCCCGCCCCTCCCCGCAGAGGGAGATGGTGTACACGTCCAGGGAATCGTCTCCCACCCGCCGGCTCAACAACATGTCCCCGGCGTCCCACCTGGC